CCTCTATCCTATATAGTAAAAGGGTAATATGCCTCCCGGCACCGGGATCAGCGTGACGGGGCAGCGCCCAAACCCCCTGATTGCCCTGCGGCTCTGTGTGTGACGGGGCAGGGCCACAACCTCCCAATCAGCCGTGCTCTGAGCCCGACCAGGGGCTGCACCTAGGGATTGGGCCTGCCCTCTGCCACCCGGGAGTGGGCCTAAGCCAGCAGGTCATTATCTCCCGAGGGGTCCCAGACTGCGAGAGGGCACAAGTGGGGCTGAGGGACCCCCCCACCCCTGCCAGTGCACAAATTTTTGTGCACCAGGCCTCTAGTATAAAATAAAATATAATAGTAGATTCCACATAATTTCTAATTAAGATAATAGTCCTTCTAAACAGAACTGTTTCCCACAGCACTATATTCTTAATGTACATTATTTTTGGTCTTTTATTTCTATTGGGCTGTTTATCCCCTTGTTACTTTATAAAATCTCTTTATATAATCTATTTATCAATCTTTTGTTTGTACTTTGACTTATAGAAGTTCTTTCCAAATCTGTTATTTCTCTCTTGATTTGTTATTCTATCTTTTATCTTTTTTTATAGCAACTGGGTTCCTAGTTAATATTTCCTCTTTCTTTGAATAGTACAGGTAGTTTTTTTAGATTTCTCATTGCAAGATTTTATTGTTTTGGTATTAAATCAAATCACCTATCCACCTGGGATTTACTTATGTATGTATCCCAGTTGTTATTTTTTTCAAATGGATATTTAGTTGTGCCAGCATCATTTATTAAATCCATTTCCCACTGAATTTAAATATTTATAGGTTCTCTATTCTCATCCAGGATTTTGTCTATTCCTATGCCCATAAATTTTATTAAGTCATAGTACATGCAAACACACACACACACACACACACACACACAGGATGGTAAAGATATGGTTATAAGGCTGTGTGATTTTGACAATAGTAATTAAGACTGGAGTTGCTTCTCAATGTTAACTCTATAATAAAAATGGTATTTAATGAAGAGGCCAGTTGATAACTAGCTACTGATAGCTACCCCTGATGCTGCCAGATTAATTTTGCCTTTGTAAAATATTGAAAAGATAAATGTATACCATTTTGTGCCAGGTAGTTTGATAGGGGATAATTTTTTTTCACATCAAACTTATGAGGTTAGATTTACCTATCTTTTACAGATCAGAAAATGACACTTGATCAGATAGTTATTTGCCCAATATTTAACTATTAGGTGGTAAACGTAAGATTAAAACACTAATGACCAGGCTTTTTCAATTGTGCCAGAAATGAAATGTTTCATGTACTAGTAAAGTACTTTTTCCCCAGTTTTTAAAAATTTTATTTTTAAATTATTGTTTACATTCAATGTTATTTTGTATTAGTTTCTGGTTTACAGCATAGCAGTTATATAATCATATACTTCACAAAGTGTTCCACCAATATTTCAAGTACCCACCTGGCACCATGCATAGTTATTACAGCATTGTTGACTATATTCCCTATGCTTTACTTTACCTCCCTATCATAACTAGTTCTTAATCCCTTCACCATTTTCACCCAACCCCCTAATGGCCCTTCCTTATGGCATTCATCAGTCTGTTCTCTGTATCTATATGTCTGTTTCTATTTTGTTTGTTCATTTATTTTATTCTTCAGATTTCACATATAACTGAAATCATATGGAAAGTACTTTGAAAACTAAAGATGTATACAAATTGATATGATGATTATATCATCATCATCTCATCATTAGCATCTCTGAGGATTTTTTTGTTTTGATTTTTATTTATTGATTTGAGAGAGAGAAACATCAATTTGTTGTTTCACTTATTTATGCATTCATTGGTTGCTTTTTGTTTGTGCCCTGACTGGGAATCGAACCCACAACCTTGGGGTATCAGGATGATGCTCTAACCAACTGAGCTACCCAACTAGGGCCTCTAAGTTTTATTTTAAAACAATGTATATGCAGTGGAAAATGCACACTAAAACCTATAGCTTAATAGTTTCATGAAAAATAGGTGTTCTTTCAAGATATGGTCTATGAATAAAATGTTAAAAATTATTTTTGTTCTTTTAAACATTTGTTAGAGCCAAAGAAAATTAAAGTAAAAAAACCAAAACCTGAATTTCCTGTGTATACACCTTTGGAAAGTGCATATATTCAACCATATGATCATGGAACTTCTATAGAAGAAATTGAGGAACAAATGGATGATTGGCTGGAAAACAGGAACAGAACACAGAAAAAACAGGTAAATAAGCTTTTGAAATTTTATTTTGTGTCAAATATATGCAGACAAGTACATTAAATATAGATATACAGCTACATATCTCAGTGAGCTCAGTGATGTATCACTAGAGAACCAAGTTAACCATTGCCAAGATCAAGAAATAGAACATTGTTATTATTCACAGTGGCCAAGACATAGAAACAACCAAAGTGTCTTTTGATTGATGATTGAATAAAGAAGATGTGGTACATATATACAATAGAATACTACTCAGCCATAAGAAAAGATGAAATAGTGCCACTTGCCACAGCATGGATGGAACTTGAGAATATTATGCTAAGCATGCTAAGCAAAATAAGTCAGACAGAACTACTCAAGAATCATGATTTCACTTAAAAAACTGAAGGGAACAAATGAACAAACAAAACAAATAAAAACTCATAGACACAGACATCAGTAAAGTGCTTACCAAATGGAAAGGGGGGTTTGGGGGGAAGGGGTGTTGTAAATTGTAAGTAGGGTCAAATATATGGTGACAGGAGATTTGACTTTCAGTGGTAAACACACAATGCCATATGCAGACGATGTATCAGAGAATTGTACACTGCAAACCTATATAATTTTATTAACCAACTAGAGGCCCCGTGCATGAATTCATGCAACAGTGGGGTCCCTCGGCCTGGCCTGCAGGATCAGGCTGAAACCAGCTCTCTGACATCCCCTGAGGTGTCCCAGATGGCAAGGGCACAGGCCAGGCCAAGGGACCCCACCGGTGCACAATCGGGGCCAGGGAGGGACACGGGATGTTGGCCAGTTGGGGAGGGCTCCAAGGCATGTCCAGCCAGTCTCCCTCATTCCCGATCAGCCAGACCCCAGCAAACCTACCAGTTGGAGCATCTGCCCCCTAGCGGTCAGTGGACATCATAGCAACTGGTTGACTGTCTGCCCTCTGGTGGTCAGTGCACGTCATAGCGAGCGGTTGAGTGGCCTTAGCATATCATTAGTATATTATGCTTTGATTGGTTGAATGGATTACCGCCACTTAGCATATTAGCCTTTTATTATATAGGGTGTCTCCCCAATTAAAAAAGAGAGAGAAGAACAGAAGGAGGGATGAAAGGAGGGGACATTTCCAATACACAGAAGCCTTACTCATGCTTCATCCTTTGGCCCATGAGCCAGGAGGTCACAGTTTGATTCACTACTTTTCTTTTCTTCCAACTAGGTATCTATTATCCTAACTTCTAACATCATAGATTAGTTTTTCCTATTGTTTGAAGTTTATAAATGGAATCATCCTTCATCATTTCAGGCTGCTATAACAAAAATGTAATAGACTGGGTAGCTTAAAGAACAAACATTTATTTCTCATAGTTCTGAAGATTGAAAAGTCCAAGATCAAGGCATCAGCAGCTTTGGTGTCTGGAGAGGGTGCTCTTCCTAATTCATAGACAGTAGTCTTCTTGCTCTGTCCTTATATGGCAGAAAAGGTGAGAGAACTCTCTGAGGTCTCTTTTATAAGGTCACTTATTTCACTTATAAGGGCATATCACAATGGGAGTTATGATTTGAGGGGAACACAAACATTTCATCCAGAATACATCCCATATGTAATCTTCCATCTGCTTTCCTCTATTTAATATAATATTTGTGAGACTCATTCATTATTGTGTATAGCAGCGGGTTATTCATTTGTATTGCTATATAGTAGACCATTTAGAAATATATACAGCACAAATTATTTTTTGGAGATTTGCATTGTTTCTAGTTTTTGGCCATATGAATAATTTTCTTGTGAATATTATACTTCTAGTAGATTTTACAAAAAATGTAACTTTCTATTTTTGGAGTTATGTTGCAGGGTTAACTTCAGTAAATAGTTCTAAATGAGTTTTTTTTTTAAATGTTTGTATCAATTTCTACGTAAGCAGCATGATATAAAATTTCTAGTTACTCTACATCCTTGCCAATACTTGGTCAAGTCTTTTATATTTTAACCATTATGGTAAGTTATATAGTGATATCTAATTATGTTTCAATTTGCATATTCATTGATTAATAAGATTGAATTTATTAAACACTGATATCCTCCTATACAAAGAGCCTTTTCAAGTCTTTTTGTACTAGGTTGCCTGTGTTTTTACATACTGATTTGTTACGAGTTCTTTTTATATTTCAGAAATGAGTCTTGCATATATTTCCTCCTTCTGGCTTGCCTTTTTACTCTCTTCATGGTATCTTTTGATGATCAGAATTACTAATTTTAATAATCAATCTTTTCTTTTTCTTTATTTGGTGATTTTTGTGTTGTGTTTAAGAAATATTTTCCACCGAACCGGTTTGGCTCAGTGGATAGAGCATCGGCCTGCAGACTCAAAAGTCCCAGGTTCGATTCCGGTCAAGGGCATGTACCTTGGTTGCGGGCACATCC